GATCTGTGATAAACTAAGGTCTCTAAACTGGCATTCTTCTCAAATGCCATGACATTCATGAAAGCTTATTCTATACACAGAATATGTTCAAAGTTTGAAAGTATATGCCCAAATGACCTAACCTTGAAGGGGGACGGGGGGAACACTCAGCTTAACTAAACACATGACTATATAACCCAAATCTAACTTAGGAAATTCAAAGTTATACAGTTATAATAAAGTTATCTCCATGAGAAGTTTTTTTTTTCTTTTTTTCCCCTCTTACAAACAAACTTACTACGCTGTTTCTTACCGAATTCCTATAGCGTGGAATCCAGCAAGGAGCGCCCGTCTCCTATGACTCTCCTACCATGAGCCGACTCCCTGCCTGCGCTCCAGAGAGGGATGCGGTACAATGCTAACCCCACGTGACTCTCGGTCTTCAAAGCCTGGCAAGTGGTGTGTCTGGAGGTGGGCCCAGGGGTGGGGAGGAGCAGGAGGAGCAGAGAAGAGGGGAAGCGGTGAATGGCCAGATTTACAAAATACTGCTTTAGATTAAAATAACACACTCAGAAGGAGGAGCCTCCTTTCTATTTTCTGGAGGATACTACAATGCGCTAATTAGGTGGGAATCCTGAGTGACAGAACATACTGCAGACAAGGCAACTGCAAAGTGTATCCTGAGCAATCAGAGGGTAACGGGGTAACAAGAGACGCCAGTGTAAATGAGAAGGCAGCAGAAGACGCAGGAAATGGGAGAGAGACCCTAAGGGAAAGTACTGACTGATGACGACAGCATGTAACACGTTTACAGTGTTGTTAAGGTGTGATAGCTGCAGGCGCACCAAGGAACTGCCACCAGAAATAAAACACCAAGATGAACTACTTGTTAACAGGAGACGGTATTGCCCAACCTACTACTAGTCAAGTGACTACTTGAATCCAGTGCCCTGATACCGTTCCTTTCTCTGATGGAAGAAGGAGCAAAAAAAAGAAAAAAGGAAAGGGGAAAAAGCCACGTTTATGGGCACACACTCCCCAGTACTATACAAGCAAATTCAAGCCTCCTCCCCTTGTTTACAGCATCACCACAGTATTTAAGAAACATGTCTACCTGCAGGGACTTTAAAGCTTCTATGACAACATACCAAAGCTATGCTGGGTAACTACGCATGTGACTGACACATTCTGTGGACTTGAAAGTTGCCTGTGGCTCTAACCTAAACAACCGCTTTCTTTACCCTCTCTCTCTGGGTTTTACCTCACTAAAGCTTTCAGAATAAATTCTGGTTTCTTTTGCAATACAACAGAGAATACAATTGGTAACAATGAGATACTTCCTAATGGTAAAACAGGCATGACATTCCTGACCTACCTCATAATTTTCTTAAAAGTTTTTTTCAGATTCAGCCACAGACAAAAACCAAAATGGATCTCTAGAAACATATTTACTTCTCCACAAACTTCCTCCCCAGTCTTCCTCTATTAGAGTTTGTCAAATGTCTTCTCAGAAATCTTCAAGATGTTGAAGATATATTACGTTCATTTTGGCATCATTTCTATATTAACATGCCCTCAAGGACCACATTTCTCTGTTACAAATTATATTGTTCATCTTAATGTAGGCTTTGGAGGTAGTTCAGGATTTTTATACACTTTGGTTTGTACAGAGTAATAAATTGTGTTTCAAACACAAAGACACAGCCTGAACACAGCCAAGTCACTGGGATAATCCATGGTTTATCACTCTCTACTTCAATACTTTGTCCACTGAACTATGATGTCAGAAATCTAAGCTTGATTTGTTTTTAAGTACATAATCCATTAACTGTTTCCATATGCCATAACTGTTCAGTTGAGAAATTATTTATAAACCAGTTTATTGACTCTATCTGGCAAATATGACACACCTGTTATAAAATGTGATTACTTCAGAAAGCTAACAATTGTGGAATCACATTTTCATAATAAATCAGTCTAAGAGAATTAGACTATTCATATACTTTCAGAAAGCCCTTTAATCCCTATTAAGTTAACAGTTTGTGAATAATGAAAGTAATTAATATTCATTTTACTTGATAAATCCAACACCAATAACCTGTTAGTGTACGTTAATCCATTTTCCAACAGCCTGTAAAAATTAACCAACAGATGCTTCCAATCTGGTAAAAAATACACAGGTCATTAGCATTATTTTGATGATACCAAATGTTCAGTGTATGAATATTGTGATTAAATTTCCGAGAGATCTATAAACAATGCTCTTTTATAACCTTGTTAAGCCTTAAGAGAAGCCTGAAACAGTGAAACATGACAGTCTTTTCCACAATCAAGATCAGCACTGGTTATCTCACTCCTGGTCATTAGACTTCACCTGCGAACTTGACTGCACATCACCGAGGCCACAAGGCAACGTGAGTCTAGGGCCATGTCTACCTCCTCACCACAGTGTCCCCAGTGCCAAGCACAAGTCTTTACATACAACGTGTCCCCTGTAAATACTTGACGTGAACAACTGTAGACAAATAGGATACAGAAAAAGCAGGAGAAATTAATGAGGCAGATGAGAAAAAAAATATGATTAGGAAAAATCCAAAATGTTATTTTCAAAAGAATCTAAACTATGGAAAACAGACTCATCTCAAAAGTTTAGGATGGAGAGAAGCAAGGAAACTAAAGTGAGATACTTACTAGGGAAATAGAGTATAAAAAAGAAAATGATATAACTGAATCAGAAAAAAATGTTGACTTCATAGGAGATGACTTAGAAAGGAGTTTCCGTACTCCTTATAATATGACACAAGACACGCTCCCATTGAAGCAATGTTGTAAAAGTTATAGGAAGGAGATTAGTTTAAAAAGCAAAATAAGTAAAATCTAACTGGAAAAAAAAGAGAAGTAAAATAATAAAGAGCAACATGAGTTAAGAAGAAATGCTCAACTCTCTCACCAAGAACATTTTGCTCCATCTGTGAGTTGGTGGGGCAGGGTGGTACTGTGTGGAGTTAAAACTGTTTCAATCAGCAGACCAAGAGAAAAACCTCAGAAGAGATGCAGTAAAGATTAAACAAGGTCACACGAAGAAGACCCAGTTCAGCGCTGGTATACCACAGGTGCCCAATAGGAATGATTAGTTCCTCTTCCTTCTCCGGGTATGAGACCTCTGAAGCCCAATTATCTTAACCTAAATGCCTCATAAACCTAAAGCATCATAAGACAAAGAACCATACTTGGTAACAAAAAAATAAACAACATGAGAGAAAATTCCAAGGTTCTTTTAAAATTACTGGCTTCAGTTCTGTTTTTGTTTTGTTTTTTTTCTTTTTCCTTTCTGCCAACTTCAAATGCACAAAGATTGGTGTCTACCATTTAAAATGCCTGGAACGGGACATTCACCTTTGTAATCAGAGAAAGAGCCCTGGTTCTTAGTCCAAAGAGGTACTAAAATTAAAAAAAAAAGAACACCTTTTCTCTAAAAATCAGTAATTTTTCAGTAATCTGAATCCTTTGTTCTTCTACCAAGCTGTGATGCAAGCCAACGAGGACCGTCAACCCATGTCCGTGCCTCTATCGCCCCCTGCCTGCTAGAGAGGGGAGAGCAACTGTATTTCCATTTTGAATTCTGCAGAAATGACAAAACTGATTCAAAGAAAACTTCAGCATCATGGGAAATAGGCAAAAGTAGCAGCCAGGCCATGAATAAAGGAACAAGAAGCAATGTATCCAACACCTCTGTGTCTTGTCTAAGTTTTCCAGGCACCTTTGTCTTGCCTTCCTTTCTGATCTTTCCTATATCTACACAAAGTCCTGTCCTTCTGAAAGCAGTAACGAATGACCTTTTCTAATAAAACACTAATCAGAACAAAAAGCACACTTAAGGCTCCTCAACTAATGCTTTCTAGGAATTATTCTTTAAAATCCCGACCAAAAAATCAGTTGCCTTCACAGCTTGCCTCCTGTTGGCATTATAAGATGTTGGTATTGCCCAGCGTTACGACTATGGGCTTCCTCATCTTTCCAACGATCCTGGAGATATTACATAGTGTCACAGAAAAGAGGAAGCTGCATTTGAGTTGAGAGAAAAGACGTCGTAGGCCTCTGCCAGCCTCTAAGTCAAACCGAAGAGATATTCGGGGCACTGGGGATACACACAGAGTCAGAGAGATACTGAAATATGGAATATTCAGAAAAGGATCATCATCTCCTCACCTTACCCTTTACAACTGGTATTAGACTGAGCTAATGTCTATTTTTTTCAACCTTAAATCATAAGACTAAAGTTAGATGACTTAAGAATTTTTTAAAGGTCCAATTATTTCATTTAAGGCTAACACTACAGCTAAATTGAAGGCATGCTAACAAGTTTCCCTTCTGAGCCTCATTAATTAAGAAAGTAATCAGAGTACAGAGAGAAAAAAAAGAGTAGCTGATGGCAGTACTACTTAAACAGCTTTTAGATATCACCCTTTCCACCTACAAGAAAAGCAAAGGGAAAACTAATCAATTCCAGATTATGAAATCCGAAATTCTGAAGTGCTTTAAATGCAAATACACATTTTAACTGCCATATATTTTCCTTGATTGCCTGAAGAGTGCACTAATCTTTTTCAAAGAAAATTTTGATTCTCCATAATCAAAAGGTAAAATTAAGATCTGCTTACTTCACAAGTTTTACTAGGGTTAGCTTACTAGAAATTTTCAAAGAACAAAATATATTATTTTTACCATTTTAGTCACGAAAAATGGTGTTCCAAAATATCTGATAAAGGCTTTGGATTTAAAACAAATTCTAAAAATCTAATTTACAATCACCTGTTAAGAGTGTCAAACTTACATTATGTTTTAGAAAGAATTTCTAAGTTATATTTTAGAAAGCATTTCAAAGGAATGCAAATGATATTTTTTGGTATCTGCCAGCATCCCTTGGTTGCTGTGATGATCAAGTTAAATCAAGTACATAAAGCATCTGGCATGGTACCTAGCATGCAGCAGGCACTTTAAGAAGTCAGCTTTTCGGTCTACACCAAGCATTCCTAGCTCTGTCCAATGTAATCTCTCCCCATCACCTATCTCTCTGTTTGATGAGCCCAGGGATATAAGTGGCGTAAGTCTGCTAAAAGGTTCCTTTCTGAAAATTAAAAGATAATGCCTGATATAAGTGGTTTATACTACAAATATAAAATGTGTTACTCAAAAATGAACTAAACAGTGTGAGTATCAACCCTGAAACATAACTGGGAAGCCCATGACAAAATCAAATTTCAGACAAGAGTAATTCCTAAATATAATTGTTAAAAAGAGAAAATTCACAGTGCATAGGGAACAGCTATCTGTGGGTAGCTCTTGAAAATGAATTTCATTGTTCATAATGAAAAGATGATATAATCTACTCACAGACTCTATATCAAGCTACCTTTCAAGATAATCTATAAATCTGATCATTTCTATCCCATGTGAGTCATACTAATTAATTACATGGTAGTCACTGCAACATTAAAGAGTGGGAAAATTAGGACTAGAGGAAGACTCACATTTTGACTTTGTTTTTCCAGTTCTCATTGACTAGAGGGAATTTTCATATCAAAATTTTCTCTGAAAATATCCTCCTTTATGAAAGTCTAACTTAGAATATCTTCAAGGAAGGTATCATGTAGAAAATTTTTTAACTCTGGTATTAAGTTAATCATTTGCATTTTAAAAATTGCCTAGTTGATACTCTACATAAAAAAAACTAACTTTCACTTATCCATTAGTAATGTAAAAACATCACTTATAGGATACAAATAACACTATTGAAAGCATCTAAAGAGTTGCAATATTAAAAATGCTAAAAGTAACAAATATCCAAGATATTAAACTTACCTTTTGGCTGACAACAAAACGTATTCTCAAGTTTACAAAGTAAATCCACACTTTCATACTTATTTTCATTTGCTTGTACCCAGAAACAGTCTTCAGTCATTTCCTGAGGTCTGATCTGCAGTCAGAGAACAGACAGATTCAGAGAAGGTTGAGTGTGCCATCTGTCCCCCACCCAGTCACCATCTACACACCCAGCACCCCATAGCTGCCAGCAGATATTTACGGAGTAATCACCATAAGATTTTTTCCAAAGTGTGTTCAGTGAAATACAAGTTCTGCAGAAAGTTACGGTGTTATTAGGGAAAAGGAAAAAAAAAAAAGGTTCCACTCTCAAATAGTTGGGAATTGAAGCTGAATGCAACGAAGTTTGTTCTTTCTCAGCTATACTTCTCCTAATCTTTAGCAATGCTCAGGTTTATGTGAAAGTGAAACCATCCTTCTGCAGGATTCAGAATTCCTGTGTCTCAACTAAATATCCACCTCTGACAGCAAGTAATAATTTTTGCAATAGCTACCAACATTAAAAAATCCCTAAGAATACTAACTTTTCTGTACTTTTTAAAACAGTTCAAAATACATAGTATAATCATGATAATATTAAATTATGTTATATATATATTTAATTTAAATGTTATGTATGCATTTGACTATAAACCAAATCCCAGCACAATTATCATAGACTCCTACCCAATTTATAAACTAGAAAGCTTTAGTCAATAGTAAAGGGCTTTAACTCAACACTTTTAAGAATTCCTATTTATTTAATGCCATTTTGAACAAGGTTCCCATTGGAAATTATATACAGGTAAATACAAATTTAAGCTTTAATCTAAGAAACAGTATTATTTCTCTACTTGTTTCTGTTTTACCTTTAACCAATTTAATCTTCTCATGCTGGTTTCCAGTTTAAATTCTTTCTTTGGTTTTAACCCAAAAGGCAGGGTCGGTGGAAGGGGCGCGGTGTGTCCGCTGAGAAGTCCCAGCGGAGGGGGTGGGGGCACAGGCCCGCCGCCAAGCGGTAAGGGCGGAGCGGGGGCGGCGGGGGAGGCGGCAGGGCTGGTGGGCCGGTTCCCTTTCCATCTGAAGGAGGCAAACAGGTATTGGGTGGCAAGGCACCAAACTACAGGAGAAAAACAATAAGAACCATGACAAAGAGCTCTCTACAAAGCAAGTTCAAGTATACGTTTCTCAAAAATACTGTTTTAAACCAAAAACAATTGAATTTCAGTAATGCCATGTGGTTTAACCTACAAACAAAATTTCAACAAATATTTTTCCCAATTTAAGAGCATTATTATAGCTTTTGTTTTCATAAAAATGTAATTGTCAGAAATATTACTCCCCATTTTAAGGTAGTTATGGTCATCTGGGTGGAGATGTCCAAGAGGCAAATAGTGACCCAGGTCTAAAAGATCTGCAAGTCAGCAGTCTCAACAGGACAGCTGAAGAAGCCATTTGTGCAGGTAAGTTCACCCAGAGGACCGAGCCTGAGGAAAGGTTTATATACAGAATTCTGTGGGACACCAGCATTTAAGTTAGTAAATAAATAAATAAATAAATAAGATCCAGAAAAAGAGAGGGAAATAATATTGCCACATCATGCCTTTACCATTCAGGAAAAATTAACTAAGATTCTTAGTAAGACCTGGAAAAGCAAAACACGACCTGGTTACTAGGCACTTCTACCCTTATGCTTCTGTTGCTTAATAAAATGCATTTTTACTACCATAAAGGTGATAGGAGTTGATAAATTTCTGTGATGATGATTTCCTGAAACCAACTTTAACTCTAAGGCATATAGCTATATAATTATTAATAAATCATTTTAAAGTTTTATGCTAAAATTACGGAAAATAGATTACATAGAAAGGCTTGAAATCAACATCCAAAATCAGCACAAAGAAAAAGTATTTAAGAGAAATTGAGACCACAATCAAAAAACATGCCTTATCAAAACCATTAAGTATAAAGAAGAATCACTTTAGTGCTGGGTTGCTGTGATAGTGGATACCACAGCCCTTTGAACCTTAGGGATATATGTACATTGTACTCCCATTCAATAGACACATATAGTTAACAACTAATGTCTTAAAACAAAGGTATAGTTGAATTTCTGCTCCAGACTTTGACGAGTGTGAGTGACTCGAGAATGTCACTGATGAGGCCAGACACCATGAGCACCTTGCCCCCAGTCTGTCCTCAGCGTCTAAGAGCAGTTGGCTGTTCAGTGACACAAGGAATGAAGTCATGGATAACAGAACACGTTTTATCCAGAACCTTTATAATCAGCATGGCGTGGATGAAAGAGAAGTATATTAAGGCAAATGCATACATTTCATGAGAAATACAAACTAATCCAAAGAAAGGATTTGTCAGTTGTTCTTCAAAACTGAGTATGTGGCCAACGTCGAGTCTCTAATGACAGGCTCTCTTCTGACAGACATAAACAGAGGTGATCACTGTACACAATCTAAAACAACAGAGGAGACTGCTTGATTTAATCTGTTTCAAAATGTAAATATATTCCCGTTTTATATAAAATCATATGCAGCAATAACATATTCAAACACAGTGAATATGTTTTCTATAAACTAAAATTTTCTAGCATAGATTTACAAGAAATGCTTCAATTGGGAAAAATTAAAAGAAAGGAAAGTCTAAATTTATACTAGCCTGGACCAGGAAAAAATTGTCATGAATATTTCAGTGTCTAAAGCTCAATCTGAAATATAGAAAACACAGCCGAATGTTTCTTTAATATGAGGGAGAGGGAACTACATAAGAAAGATGAAAACTTTCAACAAATTGTGGTACCTTCTCTTGCAGCACTAGAGAAAGATGATCATTGAGAATTTTCTTGTAGATAGATTCTATTTTTTCCCCCAAAATTAAACACTAACAGATAATTCCTAGAGTATCTTCAGATAGACTCTGCAACAAAACTATACACTAAGTAAAAAAGAGAACAAAATTGCAAATAACATAGGAAAAAGTATGCCTAACATTATTTCAACATAACCATAAATTAAGATGAAAGGAAGATAGCAAAACTATACTTATTGCTCATCATCTTGCATGTAAATCTACATGAAGGAATTTAGCTATGGATATTCTACTCCTTACTCTCATCCATGTAAAACATGTAGATAATGTATTTCTTGCTACCTGTTTTGTGTGCAGAGAGTATATGTGAGCTATCTACTTCATAATCCAGATTTGCTCCCTTTTTTGTCATGTTTTAAATCTGTTTACTTTTGGAAATTGAAAAATTATCAGAAAATGTTCTTATTCAGCTAGAGGTTATCTTTCACTGCAAGGTACCCATAGGCTGAAGGTTTTGAAAAATAAATAGCTTGAGCAATAATTTTCTGTAGTGGGATAAAGATCAGTGATGAATGACAAATCTAATAATAAAAGACTTTCTTACCCTTAGTGCTTAATTACCTAGCAAACACATGACATCAGGAACAAAACCTAAATGCAACCCAAGGAAGATATTAGACATTTTTTAAAAAGCAAATTAAAAAAAAAGGAGGCAAAATAATATTAAAAATTTAAACACAGAATAGAAATATATATAAACAAAAATATGAAAACATACAAGTAAAATTAAAGTTTCAACATTTTGATGCTGTGAGGACATGATACAACCTTTGTTACCCTGTGAGTTTTCAATACCCAAATTCACTCCAGGTAGATAGTATTTTACCTGTGATTTAAAAGCTTGTAACTCTGCTTGAAGCTCATTAATCTCTGCCTCTTTTTTCTGCAATTGAGCCTGAGTTTCTTGGTGGTCGGTAAACTCTTTTTCAAACTGAAAAAAAAAAAAAAAAGAAACATACAAGACAGAGAGAAAGATGACAATAAAAAGCACTATTCTTCGTATAGAAATTTGACTCTAACGATCTGTTAGTGACACATAACTTTTATGAAAGGAGTGGTGGTAGGGTTTTGCTAAGTCGCCCACAGCTTTTCTCTAGGTCCCTCAGGGTCCCACCAAAATCATTCATTTGAAAAGGAGCAGACAAAGCCAGAAATGAAATCTGTGACCTTCTCCTCTCAGCAGAACAAACTGGGCTTACAGTTATCCAGAACACTGGCATTTTTCTTAAGAGTCCCAAAATATCATTGCAACTTTGTGTAAAATAATGGAGAGCAAGGCACTGTACTGAATTCCCTGACCCCTACCTGTGAAAACTTATACTTGAAATGTCTCAAGTTTATCAACATGATTTAAAAGAATTTCATTTCAATATTTTTTATTAATAAATAACTCCACTTTGTAAATGCATCAATCATTTCCTTTTTTTGTAAAACAACATCAGAAAGTTAAGGACCTAATATACGTTCTAACCTTCATCAAAAGTTTAAGAGGATAAATTCCATCTTCTTTATCATTAATCTTTGGAAAATTAATGATAAATTAATCTTTCAAAGACATTAGTGCAACACTTTGAGGGAGGAAGGCAAATGATAAAATTTGGTAAATCCAATGAGTCTTCTAGTTGATAGAGCCACTTATCACAAGCCACCATCCTGCACTCAAAACAGCTTCACCTTGCCATCATCTTCACTAAAATCCCCCACTAGCAGAGATAAACACGAGTTCTGTCTCATGATCAAAAACATTTTAAAAAAGAAAAAAGTAATCACTAAAAAATACAAATAATTCACAAATGTAGCCTTGAGACTTTAAAACAGTCAAATGAGTGTTACTCTTCGGATTAGGAATAGGATCTCCATACACTGGTGGCTTCCAAATCCCCATCATCAGTTCCAGATTCACAACTGCATTCCAGACTGCAAATCAGTCTATAAATACATTTCCAACTTAAGAAAGGTTTTTAAAAATTAAGGAAGCATTCCAGTATTTTCAAAACCAATATTGTCTTTCTCTCTACAAACTTTTTTTTAATACTGCTGTTCCATCCAAAAGATAGCTCACATATCATGACTCCTTTGTCTTAAATCTTTAGTGGCTTAATTATAAAAACCACACTTATTAACCTAATACCTAAGAACCACCTGACATCTGGTCCCATTCCACTTCTTTATTCAATAAGTATCTAAAAGCATGACTATTATGTATTTCTCAGAGTGGCAGGGACTAAGGGTACAGAGTTTAAAAGAATATGATCATTGTGTTTAGTAAGCATAGTGTCTGGTGGCAAAATCAAAACAAACTAACCATCCAAAATCTATGCAAATTACTCACAATAGAGAAAGGCCAGGAGGTGTGCGTGTCATTCCTGGAGCAATGATGCCTGATCTAAGGCTGGAAGAACCTGAGTCACCAGCTGGGAAGCGCAGCTTGCCCGTGACTCATTCGGTGTGAACATGAATGACAAGCATCCCTTGTAAGGGCCACAGAACGAGGTCTGAGAACAAACTGCAGAGGATGAAGCTAGAGATACACCAGAGCCAAACTATGGAGAGGAAGTTCACAATAAACCAGAAAGCTTTCTTCTTTTCCCTAGTAACTACAGACAACTTTTAGAGTATTTATCACAGGAAAGCAAAGTAATCAGACTTGCACTGTGGAAACCCCAGCGAGCAGCAGCATGGACGGTGGACGGAACGCTGTGCTGGGCATCAGTGCAGTGTGGCGCTGCAGCTTCCCAGAAGGGACGCAAGCCCCGCTGGAGCACAACAGAAAGCAGCACAAGAAAAGGGGGGAAATATATACATAAACAGAATCAAAAATTAGCATCTGACTGAACAGAGGAATGAGCGAAGGGCTATAACTAAGATAACTTAGTTATCTTGTTCTGTTGCTTTGAAAGCTGGCAAAAAAGGATTATAATCTGAAGGAATGACATTTTTAGAGACAAGAATGAAGAATTTGGTTTTGAAGATGTTAAGCTTGGTATAAGAAATTCAAAATAAATGTACTTGTGCCTCCTCCTCGGACAGTCACCTTGCTGCCTCCCACCATCCATCAGGGCTCACATTAGCATCACTTCCCAGGGCAGGTGCTGCCCAGCCACCCGAGATTCTTCCTACAGGCTTACACACCACACAGGGTTTTCCTACAACAACTGTTATCCTCCTGTATTACAAAACCATCACAATGCAGTATCATACACCTCAGGAATGCTCACCAACCTGGAAGCTCACTAATAATGAGACCTTTTCTGTTTCATTCATCACCTTTCCAAAAGCCTTATATTTACAAATTAAACTCTTCTGTTGAGTGAAATCATCAGCCAATTCCTGTCAAACTTTCCTTTATATGGTGAATAACCATGTCAATATCATAAAGGTCCTCAATCTCCCAGTCTCAAAAATCTCTATGAAGTCATTTTCTCTATTCTCCTCTCTATGACCACTCAGTCAGTGTTTACTGCTGCTTAGTAAGAAATAGAAAACTAAATTCTTATGAGAGTAAGAATGAAGAAGCCTTTCTCATAATATCAATATGTACACTGTCCTGTCTTAGGTCTTAGAATAAGATGCAGAAGGAAAAAGAATTATTTATAGGAACAAAAATAAAACTATAAAAACAACCAGAATCATAGTTACTACACTCAAAGAAAGCTTACTAAACTAACTTTACCATACTGAGAGTAGCTGTATTACTTACAAGAGAGATAAATTTCTACATCCTCCCCTATAAAAGGATCAGATGAAATATAAACTTTGCTTTAGCATTTTTATAATATCCATAGTGAAATCACAGTAGCCTTGAGGATAAAATGAATCTCCATTAAAGATGCACTTTACAAAAACTGAAATGATAGGCTTCCTCTCCGAAAGGAGTCAGTAGAGCAATATTACACTTACAAAATTACATGCAAAAATGTCAAGAAACACAGTTAAGGTTGAGGTTCTACTTAATTTCATTCCCTCAGGTAAGTGAATTAGTGCATCTATACAAGAAGGTTGATAACTCAATACTCTCTATGTACTTTCTGACATTTCTAGTCTTCATTTTTCAAATTTATGCATTAAAATAAAGAATGTGTCTAGCAACCATGATAGCTTCCTACCTAAAGCAAAGTATTTACATGTGTCCTTATAAAGCTATCAGAAAAAATTCTTGCTGACACATACAAAATGGTATGGCAATAGAAATCTTTTATGGAGTGAACAATATTTTCTGAATATACCTAAGACACATAACTGCTGACTAAAAGGAGACAACTAACCTTGAACAAGGTCTTTCTTCTATTTACACTAAAAGCTTACAATTTTAAAACAATGTTTTGAGAAAGTTATCATATACAAATACTGTAAGCCAAAAAAAAAAGATTATAAAAGCCAATTTAAACTGAGATTCATTCAAACCAAGTAACTTGAAAGTTTGCTACTCCTTTCCTACAGTGAGTGAAAGTCTTATTTACTGAGCTTGGAATACAGTCAGTGGGTGAGAGGTCACCATACAACACAAACATCTATCAACTGGAACACTTATGACACTTAAAGTATAGATTACTTTGTTTCCCCCATTAACTAAGTCACTTTGCAAAAATGGCGATGTTAATATCCACAGCTGTAATCCGAGCCTGCAGCCAAAGGTCGGGGAGATAATACTCTCTAAGGATTTGGTGAAACTTAGGACTTCTTAGACAGGACCCTTACAAAGTTCTTCATGTGAAAGTGAAGCTTAAGTCTGTCTGTGGGAGAAGGCGAGGGTGGGATGTTTCAAGAGAACAGCATCGAAACATGTATATCTAGGGTGAAACAGATCACCAGCCCAGGTTGGATGCATGAGACAAGTGCTCGGGCCTGGTGCACTGGGAAGACCCAGAGGGATGGGGTGGAGAGGGAGGTGGGAGGGGGGACCGGGATGGGCAATACATGTAAATCCATGGCTAATTCATTTCAATGTATGACAAAAACCACTGCAATGTTGTAAAGTAATTAGCCTCCAACTAATAAAAATGGAAAAAAAAAAAAAGAAAGTGAAGCTTAAAGTCACTCAGTCAGGAACGACTCTCTGTGATCCTGTGGACTATACAGTCCATGGAATTCTCTAGGCCAGAATACTGGAGTGGGTAGCCTTTCCCTTCTTCAGGGGATCTTCCCAACCCAGGGATCGAACCCAGGTCTCCCACATTGCAGGCGGATTCTTTACCAACTGAGCCCCCAGGGAAGCCCAAGAATACTGGAGTGGGTAGCCTTTCCCTGCTCCAGGGGATCTTCCTGACCCAGGAACTGAACTGGCCTTTCCTGCATTGCAGGCAGATTCTTTACCAACTGAGCTATTAGGGAAGCCCTAAGATGTTTTATCTTAAAAGTCTATTAAAAATGAACAATTCTCTCAAGGTTCATTTAGGGCTTGACACATCAAAAATGTAGACTCTCTGGCATGGTGTCTAACTCAGTCTAAATGTTCCTTGAGTACAATGTTCATTGAGGTAGTGCTAGCAGTTACTACCATGATTCCTCCAACGAAAGGAACCAGCCCTAAGAATTCAAATCAGAGTAAACTACTTAAAAGGTGAAGACTCCAACAACAAAAAATAATAAAATTTAAAAATAAAATGTTAAGATCAAGAACCAGTCTAATAGGTACCCACTAAGTAGAGACAAAAGCACAATACACTATCTTAAAGAAAAGTGGGGGATGGCTGGATGGTCAACAACACTACTGGGACAGGAACAAATGAAACTGCTGACATCCAATACTTACGATCTATGAAAAAGACAACTTTAAATGGTTCCACTTAGTCTTATGAAGCAACTTTAATCAAAACAAAAACTAAATTAAACTTTCACTTAAAATTTTTAGATACAATTTCAATCTTAAGGGCCTAAATTATCTGAGGCCTTGAGAAATACTCCAATCTTAAAATTCTGACTCTATATTGTCAATCATTTATTTATTCATTCACTCATTCAAAAAATATGTTTAGTTTTCAGTCCAGGAATTGTTTTAGGTGCTGTGATAGTGAATAAAGCTAATAGTGAATAAAGCTAACAAAAACCCTTCATAAATTTTAGTACAGAGGGAGAAACAGACAAGACATTTGTATATACACACACAGATACATAAATGATGTAGCATGTCAGATGGCAATAAATACAACAGTAGAAAAAAAAGGAAAGAAGCATAGGGAGGGTAGGAGTTGGGAGTGAGGAGTTTAAATGTTTAAATAGGAAGTTCTCAGAGGATAGCATCTGTGCAAACACCCAAAGGAAGTAAAGAAGGAAACTGGAAGAACACAGAGAGTCCCTGAGGCAGAAATATAGCTGCAGGAGTCCCCCTGTAAGTCTTGCAAAGTTATTCAAACTACTTACTTTCTTGTTAAGTTCTGACGCTTTCTCTTCAAACTCTTCTAGTTTTGCTTCATCTATGCAAATATCTAAAATTGCAAGGATAAAATTTTTCTTAAATTCACTGTTACTTTAAAAGTTTAGAAAGAAAAAATCACTGAGAAAAGTCAGAAATAATGTCAGTAATAAACAAAATGGAGAAGTATATAATATATAATGGAGAACAATTTTCTAAGCATGATACCAAGGTCATAAAATATAAGAGGAAAGATAAACCCAACTACAATTTTAACCTTGTATTAAGCAAAAGGAGGAGTTCAACTGTACATAGCAACAAAGGTTGCTATCCTCAGTTCATATTTTGAAGGAAAAGGAAAAGATGATAGCCAATACAAATGGGGAAAATGTACAATAACAATGAGCATAAAATTAGGAATAAAAATCTAAAAATTGATAAGCCATAAGAATAGATAATTGAATTTTCCTAATAATATGAAAATATACAAATATTTAATTAGAAATAAGCAAAAATTAAATAATCCCTAATGCCAAGCACTGGAGCTAGCATGGGGAATCCAACTCTCCTAAAAACAGTTGGAAGTATCGTTAAGGAACTTTGCTAACAAGAAACTATGCAATATGTACTAAAATTTAAAATAAATACTTTCTTTCACCCAGTAATTCTATTTCCAGGACTTTGCTTTTAAGTAAGAAGATTCATTAAAATAGTGTTAGCAAAAAACTGCAAATAAATATCCACTAATAATAGATTATAAAGCTCTGATAGGAATCCACAGGACGGGACACTTCACAGGAGAAGTAATTCATATGGATGTCTCATGATGTACTATATCCCTTCTTTCTTTTTTAATGAAAGTAATAACGAACATTGTTTAATAAAACATACTACAAAACTTATTATGAAAAGCAAGAATCAACCAAATCACTGCATCCAAAACTAGCCCCACTTCCTGAATGGGGCCACTTGCAGCTCTTTCTGTATTAGATTACTTTGGTGGTTAGCTGCTCAACTCTAAATACAGTGTGTACACAGTTATTTCTTGATTTAACTATGTAGGGCATTATGGATAACTTCCTAAGTTATACTTTCCTGTATAATCCTAATTCTATAACTTTTTTTCACTTGGCTGGCTCTGTAGCACTAAATTAATACTTAATCCTCTGATTTCTATTGCATAGACAGCATCTCTTGAATACCACCTTATTATGTTATCTGTGCCCTATCCTTTCCAACATCCTATATTGTAATATATTGTAATATAATGTATATTCCTATACATTCCAACATCCACCTAAGCATGTTAACACAGTGAAACTGTCTTCTGTATTTAAGTCTTCTGCATTGTGTCTATAAGTTTATTTGAAACATTTATAATCAATTAACAGAATGAATTTATTTAAATATGTAACTAATTTCACTTATATAGCCAAGAAGTATTCAAAGATTTTATTTCCTTCTCAAGAATTCAATGTCAAAACCTTTCACCTACTCAAGAAAAATATTCCTAATGTCCAGGTAGAAAAAACTTTCTCTTCAGACACTATTCAAAATCATTCCATGTTTTAGTTTGCTGTACATTTAGAGAATATTTTCCTTTATTTCTATGTCCCCCCTACCCCCAAGAACTTCTTATTTCTTCTCTCTTAGGGAAAGAAACAAGCATTTGCTTTACCAGTGTCATTAGTATTATCTACTACCTTCTCATTCTATGCATCTCACACTTCTTCCTGAACTCAAATATTTTATGGGGAAAAAAACAACCTCATGCAAATAATACTCTTTGAATATTAAGTCAAGATTTGACATATGGTAACTTCTTAAACATTAGTTACCATGTGGAATCACATATCATTTCAAAGACTGTTTTGCACTCTGTTACTTATAAATCATTGAGACATATCAAGCTTTGGTCATCTGGGAAAGAGTGGTTTACAGGGTCATACAGATCCTTCAAATGGTGATACATCTCATCATACAGTATCAAAATAATCGTATAGGGTAATATCACCACTAATCTCATCAGAAAAAAAATTTAGCGCTGCCAAGATGACAGTAGCAAATACAAGTTTTCCAAACTCAAATTTTTACATAAATGCTTGGATTTTATCATTGGCAACATAGTCTATCTTCATTTCATGCTTAGGAAAGTGTGTGCCAAACACTCACATCTAAGTAGCTACAGTTTTTGTAACAATCACTTTTTCAAAGATTAAAAAAAAAAACAGCAGGCATCTCAGCTGGCGACTCAGGCAATTACACAAGTGCTTCCTCTTGGGGTTTGCAGCACAAGTGACTCACATATACAATATGTTCACACAGAATATTGAAATTTGTATACACAAAGGTAAATGTCTAATAAAATTAATATTTTTTAGTTCTTTATCAAGGACATTCTTAAGTAAAAAACAGCAGTTTCATTTCTTTTGTTTTACCAAAGAATCCCCAGGGCTACTGAGGTTTGGTGCTACTGCCTTGCTTCACAACAGGGTGCCAGCAGTTTTCTCAATACTGTTCTGCGAAAAAGGCAAATAATGCCTCAGTACCATTGTGAAAATAGATTTGACTAGCAGGACCTTCTGAAAGGGTATCCAGGACCCTCCAGAGTCCACATTGCAAGAAACAACACTCTAGTGCTAACCCATGGGTAAGGGACAGAAGGTATTTCCATTTAAATAACAGTGACACACTCACCAACAAACTGACTTAAATCTAAGTCTAGTCTTTTTCGATATGTGAAGTCTGGATCCATCCCATCTCTATGCAGTACAATCTGAGATACACACTCGTCAATTAATTTGAAGTACTGTTGCCTAGAACCAAGAAAAAGAATAAAGGTACACTCAATTTATCAGTGTAACTTTACATCAAAACAAAGCTATTTCATTCAGTAGCTTGATTTCCAGTTCAATAATATACTACTGTGCAGTTTTAACAGTTGATATAACAGACTTAACATGGGAGTGACAGTAAATACAAATGTCACTTTCCTTCTAATGATTTTAACACATTAATGTTTTCATAATCTTTTAGTTATAAATACAGTGTGCATTAAAGATCATTTTCTTATGAAAGTCAGATCCTTGAGTTAATTAGTAGGCAGTGAAAAAGAGAATATTCAAATGAAGTGATATTGATACATGCTTAAACACAGTCCTCAGCAGAGATCATCAGCCTATCACTATACCATACTGAAAGGGTTACCATTAATTCATTTTATTTTACAAATCAGAAGGCATATTTTCTAAAAAATTATCTGGAAGGTTCTTAAAACCATACAGTTCACTGCTTTTACAATGTTTGGGATAATGTGAGTTATAAACAATATCAAATGAATATTTTTTACTTCAAGCTAGAAAAATTCAGTTTAACAATTTTTCTCCAAAGTTTAAATTTAATTAAAATCCTCAACAGGCTTCATTTGTAACTACAATTAGGTTCAGTCCACCTGTATGAGTAACAAGTTACAGAAATCCTTTGAAACAACTCAAGCCAACAAATGCAAAAGATTTTACAAACAAAACCAAACTACAGTTATGGGCAGGGGCGGGGGGCATAGGCCTCCATCCCAACCACTCAGGAAGACTTACTTCTTTTCAATGACATTTTGCACAGTTTTTCCTCTCCACCTTCTTCTCACTATGTATGTGATGGCACCTCAGCAACTTCAGCTTTCCATCCCTATAATCTATGACCTGCAGCTCTGGACTTACTTACTTACACCCAATAAACCATTCATTACACTGAATAAAATAGAGTTCAACATTAGCAAATAAGAAAATGTTCATTAACTGTCGTAGAGTGACCATTTAAGACAGTATTCTTAGGTACAGATCAAGGCAAGAAGGCATAATCATTGCTTTCCTCAACTTTCACAACTTCTTTTAAAGAAATAATCCCCTAGCTAATATCTTAGCTGTAATAACCATATTTACACTTGAGGTATTTATATATAAATTGCACACATTTCTATCACTTTTAAAAATTGAGATGACACATTCTGTCCCTTTTTTACTCTTTTTAATGTTATCTTGATGTTGTTTTAATAAAACATTTAAATTAACACAAGTTATTTTGTGTAATTTTTTAAAAACTATAATTTCATTAAATGCTTTCTCAGTTCCACCATTCTAAATTATGAGCTCATTTATAATGCAGATGAAAACTGATGCAGAAACTCTTTCAGCAAGGTAACAAAAGTAAAGAACAATATACTTATGGATTCCAGAAACATAAATCTAGAAAATAATCTTGATGTGAGATATTAGTAAGGTAGTGAATGTTAGAATAATATGTAAACAACCTAATTAAGGAATAAATATAAATGTGATTACTTCACTAATATAAAATGTAATTTTTGTTGGAGAATATTTTGAAGTCAACTTCACTTTCTCTGCAGTTTCTTAACCAAAATCAGAAACTATCTCCATGCACATTCAACTCACATGCTATTTTGCACACAATAAGCCATCAATAATTTGTTACAGAATTGAATTTGATCTTCTATCCACCTTCCAATTAACTTGCTGCATTTGAATTTTCGTGCGGCCTTTGCTGTATATTTTCCAACTGAGTTCCATTTCATAAAATTTCCTTTTGTCCCAAAAGCAAAAGTGAGCAAAGATTTAAATTCATAGATTGAATTCTTTTAAGTGAGAATATTTTGCACTCTACAATAAAAATTAGATTAAAAGCTTTAGAAATTTTGTTTATTAATTATCAATATTAATTCTAAATGTTCATCAACTGAAAATGTCCAGAAAACTGAAGATCTATGAAAGGTAAAATCCAGGTCCACTTGAGATAGCAAAACCAAAAAAATGAAGAGGTAAACTGAAAAGAACAAGGTACACAGGACTGCACAACAAAAGTAAAATTTACTGTATGTGAACTAAAAGGTAAATACAGAAGAATTTTAAAGAATATATAGCAAAAGTATTATGTAAATGACCATAATTCTGACTCTATCCTGTAATAAATATATTCCCACTACAAGAATAAACAATCTAGGGGGTGGGATGGGGAGAGAGAAGGGAGGGAGATTCAAAAGGGAGGGGGTACATGTACACCTATGGCTGATTCCTGTTGAGGTTTAACAGAAAACAACAAAATTCTGTAAACCAATTATCCTTTAATTATAAAATAAATTTTTAAAAGAAGAATAAACAACAACAAACTAATAAATGAATGAGAATTTTGGTCCATGGGAAAGAACCAGTGGGGTCTTGACTAAGCAGTCACAGGAAGAACTCGGCCTTCATAGCAACCGGATCTGGAATGAAGACCAAGGGCCTTGGGCTGAAAAAGTCAAAGAAGAAGGGAACACAGATGATTATCAAACTTCAAAGATGATACTGAAAAACTGACCAAAGGAGAGGAACTTCTATGGCTCACTAATAACACTTTGATAATGCTACTATGACAGACCAAAGCAGCCCTCAGCGTGTAGCCGTTGCTAGGCAACACTACTCTGTGCCCCGTTACCTGGCAACGGGTCCCACTCAGCAGTTGGTCGGTGCTAGAGTGGGCCCCGCCCCGCCCCCAGGAAGCCACGACGGGGGTGGGGTGGGGGGGGTCAGCCAAGAGTGGGGCGTGGCCATGAGGGGGAGTCAGGGAAGAGCGGACCCTGGCCTCTGCCCGGGGCCCTCTGGCACGTTCCCTGGCCCAGAACCAGCGGGTAAGCTGGGCACCCAGGGAGGAGGCCGGAGATGCGTCACAGAGGCTCCAGAGCCTTCCCCACAGCCACCCACGAGCCGGGGCCTTGAGGCGCTGGGGAACCACTCTGCAACCTCTTTCTCTGTGAGCGAAGAGCGGCAGCCATTGGCCTGCACCGCAGGCTGTGGGCCCTGCCTCCTGCCCCCTTTTGGGGGCCTGAGGAACAGAGGGCCAGTTGGGTCCTGGGCGCCAGGCTCCTCAGCGATGGCAGCTGGACAGAGTCTGGGAACCTGGCCCTGAGGGAGCCGCCAACTGAGGTGGGCCTCCTCTTGGCCAGGACCTGGACTTTGGAGGGTGAGAGCTGTGCCCTGGGACTTGGCACTTTGTTGTCAGGACAGAGAAGAACATTTGTTTGGTAGAGATTTACAGGAACATCTTCACCTGACTGTGACCTGACTTCAAGAATAAGAATTTCACACCAGGAAGTCTGCACCAACTAACCACGGCCGTCCCCACCTTTCCTATAAAAGGGCTTTGTTGAAAGCTTTGGGGGAATTTGGGAATTTTAAACCATGAGCTACCCATCTTCTTGCCTGGCTCTGCAGTAAACTTTTCTCTGTTCCAAACTCCAATGTCTTAGTATTGTTTGGCCTCACTGTGAGTCAGGCACACAGACTTGTATTTTCATTAACACTACAATGTATTTCTCTAGACAGTTGATTCTACTAAAGTGATAGGCTTGCCTGAGCATGCCCCACAAGAGTTGTGCTTTTCAATCGGTTCTGAAGTTTAAAAACCACATGTCCTCCGGAGCACAGATGAAGGGACTAGAATCCTAAGTAAGAAATAACCTCCTTTACAGCACTAGGTGTGTGTGCTAAGTTGCTTCGGGGTGTCCAACATCCAACTCTTTGTGACCCTGTGGACTGTAGCCTGCCGGGCTCCCATCCATCGAATTCTCCAGCCAAGAATATTGAGGTGGGTTGCCAAGCTCTCCTCCAAGGGATCTTCCCGACCCAGGGATCAAACCCACTTCTTTTGAGGCTCCTGCATTGCTGGTAGATTCTTTACCACTAAGCCACCAGGGAAGCCCTTTGCCACACTATGGATACATTCAAACCTTCAAAAGCAATCAACAGTCTTAAATTTTTGGAAAATACAGGGATCAAGAAAAGGATGGGGTTACTTTAGAATGAGTGAAAGTCTCAAGTTTATTTTTAAATTTTCAGAAGAGTACAATGTTACAATTAGGGTACCTATGATTCTCAAAAATCATATTTAATCAAATATTAGTTTTTTATCTAGCATTTATAAAGTGGTTCAATAAACTGTCTTATTTAAATAAAAATTGAGAAACAAGCAAATGAAGCCTAACAGGTTCCTGACTCATATTTTAGAAGACCTTGGGATTTGCCAATTCTACAAAGGAAGGAAGTAGAACAGGCGGCCATACTCATCGCAACCTAAAGTTTTACCATGTTTAGGTAGAACTGCTCACTTGTTAGGTACATCAAAAACCTAAATTACTCCGTCTGACATCACCCAGAGGACACAGCCTGAATGAAACTAACAACTCCTTCTACTTGAAATCAGAGTAAGAAAAGACATACGATCCACAGTATTTGAGAAAAACTTTCAGCAAAGTTAATGGCAGCCAAAATGGCTTCATACTCAAAAGATCTTAACTTCCTTCATAAAACAGCAATAAAAAAGTGCTCAGTTACTCAGCCATGTCTGACTCTTTGTGACCCCATGGACATGTATGTAGCCCGCTAAGCCCCTCTGACCATGGAATTTTCCAAGCGAGAATACTGGAGCGGGTTGCCATTCCTACACCAGGAGATCTTCCCAACCCATGAATCAAACCTACATCTCTTGAGTCTCTTGCATTGACAGATGGATTCTTTACCACTGAACCACCTGGGAAACCCATATAACTACAGGAAGATATGGATAACAGTTAATTTCTTTTTTTTTTTCAAGGTTCTTTTTTTTTTTCATTTATTTTTATTAGTTGGAGGCTAATTACTTTACAATATTCTAGTGGTTTTTGTCATACATTGACATGAATCAGCCATGGATTTACATGTATTCCCCATCCCGATCCCCCCTCCCACCTCCCTCTCCACCCGATCCCTCTGGGTCTTCCCAGTGCACCAGGCCCGAGCACTTGTCTCATG